GACTGGCTGCAGGACAGTAGATCCATGAGACGTGGGAGAAAAGCTGTACACCTCTTGTAATCCCCCACCCCTACTCTCTGCCCCAGGGCCGGGAGCCCTATGTCCTGCCTCTGACACAGGGCAGCTGTCCTGGTTGCAGCTGACACCAGAGTGGTGTTTGCTGGCAGCCTGTGTCCCTTGCTCCTGGGTTTGCCCTGGCGCTGCCGCCTGCCCATGCATCGCTCCGCCAGGCTGGCAGACGTCATGTGCCCCCTCTCACCTCTCTTCTCTCCACCCCCGCAGGGCCCGGCTGTGTCGGATGGAGGTAAGGCTGCTCTTTGCTCTGGGACAGCAGACCTACGTCATGTTTGGGGGAGGGGGAAGCCCACAGCCAGCCTGGTGTCTGGGGCAAGGAGCCGGTGGAGAGCTAGGTCCTGTGTCAGCACAGGCTGTGCCAAGGGCAGGTGTGTGGCCAAGCTGAGCCCTCTGCCAGGGACTCACCAGATCCCTCATCCCTCCCGCATGGCCCCATTGCACCTGTACTTCTCTTCTGGCTGCTCAGCTGCACCCTTGGGTGCTGGGGGCTGAGCGGTCTCCCAGCGGGGGAGGGTAGCAGAACCTGGGTACCAGCCAGCCCCATGTTCCCTGAGGAAGTCTGTCTGTCTGTCCATCTGTCTCATTGTGCATCGGATATCTCAGACAGGCCATTCACCCATCTCAACCCCGCTGCAGGATCCTTCCGGCACAGGGTGCTGGTGGATGGTGTTCCCACCTGCACACGCCGGCTGTGTGCGTTTATACTGTGACTTGCACAAAGGTGAAGGGTGGGGAGCTCGGAAAAGCAGCAGCCTGCCACCTCCTCTGTTCCTGCTGCCTTTGCCAGGAAAGCTCAGCTTCCATAGCCTTGCTTTCTCTTGCAAATGACCTTCTGCTCCCAATTCTCACCAGTTAAACCAGTTCAAAAGCTGGGGTTGCCCCTGGGAACTTCTGTCATTTTGATGGAGGGCCTCCATCTGAAGGCATGGTCACCTTGGGTTTCCCCAAGGGAGCGTTTGCTCAGGGTTGGGAGCTGGGGATGACACTTTCTCTGACCTCCTCTTGCTCAGTTTGCTCCTCATCATGGCCAGAGGAGCAGAGAAGGTAAGTGCAGGTACCTCTACCCATTCTCCGAGCTTCCCTCCAGGCTGTGTGCACCCCCATGTCCCGTTCTACCTTGCTTTCTCTCCGTGGCGTGGCTGAGTGCCTTCCCCACACATTCATCTTTGTTCCCCGGGGAGATGAGTCACAGGTGGAATCACAGTGACACCCTGGCACTGGTAGGGAGGGCTGTCTCACTGGGAAGTGCCAGCTGTGGCATCATGGTGCTCAACCCACCAAGGATTGCTCCTCGCATTCCCCACCTGAGGGCTCACCAGCTCCCACCAGGATGGGGTGAATTCGCTGCAGATACAGAAGGCTGCTGGCGACGGGGAGTGATGTTGGGGGACACTCTGGCAGCCAGAACTGAGCTTTTTTCTCTTTCAGAGTTAAATGCCTCTAGAGCCCGTGGCAGCAACCACAGTGTGAACAGCCTGCCAGGACCACCGACCACCTGCAGCTCCACACAGGGGTCTGTGGTCAGCTGGGCTGAATCCTTCGAGACACTGCTGCAGGACCGCGTGGCCGTCACTTATTTCACTGTGAGTGCCGCAGCCCAGACCTTGGTCCCTGCTCCCATCCACCGCTGGCAACCGGCCGTCCCATGGCCACAGCGTCAGCCAGGCCAGCAGCTCTCTCTGCCCTGCAGGAGTTCCTCAAGAAGGAGTTCAGCGCTGAAAATGTCTACTTCTGGCAGGCATGTGAGCGCTTTCAGCAGATCCCAGCCAGTGACACGCAGCAGGTACCGGCCGTTGCGCAGCTACAGCATTGCTCAGCCTGGGTCAGACAGCTGCTGGGAGGGATGTGGGCAGAGGTGGAGATGGCTGCTGTGCCTGCATGTCCCAGGGTCCCCGGCAGACCCCTGTTCTGGGAGGCTGAGCAGGCTGGGGGCTCTTGCGGGAAGAATGAGATGGCTGTGATTTGCACCTGAAAATCCACAGCCGGGACTGTCTGTCTCATGGAGCAAGGGCTTCTCCAGCCCGAAGCAACCAGGGGGTGGGGAATGCTGCTGGGAGGACAAAGGAGACCAAGGGCAGAGAGCTAGGCTGGGGATCGTGGGAACAGAGCCAGGCAGCCGGCGCGGGGTCGGGGGCTGTTTCTACCTTGGGCTCTACCTCCGTGGAGGCCCTGAGCTTGGTGCTGGGTGGAGGCAGCTAGCTCTAATGCCTGCCCAGGTACCGAGCTGGGTACATTGGCCTTCTAGGGCTGAAATGGCTCCTTGGGGTGAGCCAGGGGCTTCCCGCAGGGTAGCAGTGGGGAGTGGGCTCCTGCTCTCACCTGATCCCCCTGGTCCCCCAGCTGGCCCAAGAGGCACGGCGGATCTACGATGAGTTCCTCTCCAGCCACTCGATCAGTCCCGTGAACATCGACAAGCAGGCTTGGATCGGGGAGGACATGCTGGCCACCCCCTCCCCAGACATGTTTCGCATCCAGCAGCTCCAGGTACGAGCAGCACCCGTGCTCCACCCCACCCACAGGATAGGGGCTGCAGGACCCCACACATTACCCAGCATCGCTGCTGTCACTGTAGGACTGTGCCACAGGGCAGTGGCTGAAGCGTACTGTGGGTGGGCAGGAGGTCTTAAGCACAGGCACCATCTCTTTGCAGATCTTTAACCTCATGAAGTTTGACAGCTACACACGGTTTGTGAAATCCCCGCTGTACCAGGCCTGCCTGCGGGCAGAGAGCCAGGGGCAGCCCCTGCCTGACCTGCGGCCCCACTCGCGCAGCAGCAGCCCCCCACCAGACCTCAGCAAGGTGAGTGGGGTGGAAAGAGGGAGGGACTTGTGCCTTTGCCTGAGAAAACGGTGCTGCTCCACTGCTTGGAACAAACTCAGCCCTGGGCTGCGGACAGACAAGTGGTGAGGGGACTGAGGGAAGAGGTGGGGCAGCCTCGTATGTCCCCATGTTGAGATGCTTCTCCATTTGCCCCAGAAGTCAAAGCTGAAGCTGGGCAAGTCCCTGCCTCTGGGTGTGGAGACAGCTGGCAGTGGTGCCAACCGCAGCCCCCGACGGTCCTTCAGGAAGGGAGAGCGGCGGGAGCCCTCCTGGGCAGGTAAGTGCTGTGCAGAGCAGGGCCAAGGGGCCATGCTGCCCTGGAAGGGTGCCCGCAGTCCCCCACTGTCCCTCTGTCTGTCCTAGAAGGCGGAGTAGGCGGTGGCAGTGCCATGCTGTGGCGGGAGTCCCAGGGCTCACTCAACTCCTCGGCCAGCCTGGATCTGGGCTTCCTGTCCTCGGCCAGCACAGCTGCCAGCCCCTGGACGGAGGGGAGTTGTCACCATGCCAGCCACACG